TAAAGAAATCATCTAATTATATATTATATTATATATATATATAATTCAGGGAATATGTATTCCCTGAATGATGTATGCATATGACTGAAGCCAAGGAGAAGCAAGAGAAAGTTTGGTAGCAGAAGCACCTCCAAGAACTGAAAACTTAACACACACGGCTACTGAAAATGAGTTTAGGTTTATGGATACAGGACACACCCAGATGTGGAATACACGAGGAATTTAAGAATTCAGAAAACACTGAAAACCAGAATCTCATTGGTATTTCAAGGTGGGTTTTTTTTGGTAGAATTACACCTATCACAACACAACAGCAACAACAAAAAAAGAAGTTCATCTGAAGAAATACTCTGCATTTATTTTTTTAACTTATTCATAGATTTCAACTTGTTTCTGTTGGAACTGAACTGAAACCCTATACAGTAACTTACCTGGCACACGAGAAATCATCTGGCATAAATCAACATTTAGTGCAGCTGCCCTCTGTAAGAGATAACCCCAGGAATGCATCTGGACTTCATAGCCTAACAAAATGTCTGGGTCATATCTAGAAGCAGGGGGGCAAAAAAGGAAAATGAGCTTAATATTATTTAAGAAAGTATTTTCCATGAACACAGTATAAACAAGATTTCACTCTAATCATGTTGAGTTTAAAAAAGCAGCAGTCACAATGAGTTTCTATGAAAGCAGCATCTGGATGGGGAAACAACATTTAAAACACAAGATCTTTTAGGATTTTCAATAAAATTCCCAATGAAAAAATTTTTAGAAGGAATATTTTCATTGGGAATTTTTTTTTTTCTTTTAAACATACTGCTATTATTTCAGTCTTTACAAATAAAGAACAAAATCTACGTCCAATCAGGTTTTATTGATGGAATCAGGCTGTATCAAGCATAAACTGAAACCTAGCTACGGGCACAAGACAGATGTGCAATGAAATACAGGACTGTCCTCAAACTCTGTGGTACTATTTTCCTTTATGAAATAGAAGACAATTTGTTCCTAGACTACTTGAATGTTTTGCAAATAACAATGTATCAAGCATACTGCTCTGTAGCTTATAATAATCAGAGGACACTTCTGGTTCTAAATGGTGACTTTATTGGGAAAGTTACAATTTGCAGTTGAGTGAGAGCTGTCAAAACTGAAACGTGGAGAAAAGCAACCATATCTACCAGTTCTATTTAGATACCTCTTCCTTTAAGATAACCTTCTTTCTATAAGATACACACCAAAAACTCATTTTATGCTGTATCTCGTGCGAGGTGGAAAATTTGACTGGCTCAGGTATGACAAAACGAAAAGTCAGAATTATCTTCTGACAGTCACTGCCCACCTTCCAATCAGGCTCAGAGAAGAGTTGACTAAGACAGAAGGACAAACAAGGCGGATTCGAAGTCAAAGCACAGGTAGGAGTTAGCTCGGAGGAGCCTGTACCACCTACCTTTTGAGTAGGCACTATTAAAACCAGAAGTCATGATCTGGTCACTTGCTGAAGAGCCTAAGAATGATTTGCTTGGCCTAGGTAGAAAGATACTGGCCAAAGTAACATCAGATGTCTGTTATTTTTATAGCAAAAAAAAAGAAAGGAAGCTTCACTGGGAAGAATAGCTGCTTCTTTCCATGCAGCTCAGTCAAGGGGTTTTGAGTTCCAGCAGGCAGCATTCCACTCAACCAAACGACAAAAGGGCAGCTCTCAGGAGGCAGAAGACTGAACGACAGCCTGAGCGTCCTGTACCACAGCCTATGCCCAACGCCACGAGAGGACGCAGGCTTGTAGACCTCACCTTATGGGAGAAGTAGGCAGGGGCCTTGGATTATGAACAGGATCTCTGTACTTTTTGCATCCTTTAATGCCTCCAAAACCACCAATATTTCCTGACTGTTGGGTATAGAACACCCTTTCCCTGAATTGTAAGTTAAAGTTGTATCATAGACATTAGAAATGAAGCTTCAGACTTTATCGTGAAAGTGTCTTCCTTGCTTGTGTGTCCCAGCCAAAAGCAGATGACAACTCACTTTGAAGTAACTAACTGAGAATTGCTCCAGGAAAGAGGTTCTCCACGCTTCTGCCACGAACACTAACTTTTTGTGAAAAATAGAAGAAAGAGCATTTGAATCTTTTTTACTCAGCATGGCTATCTCTTTATTGCAATTTGGGCTTTTGCACCAGCCAGCAAAAGTTGAAAAATTCCTTTAACCAACTATTTCTACCTGTGAAGGAATGGTTTTGATACAGTTTTTTGCTAAAGCAGAAGATTCTAAACTAAGTTTTTGATTTCTAGCATTCTAGAGAAAGTAAAAGAACTAGCACTCTGCATTTGGGGGGTATTTTTCTCTCTGTTGTTAATGTCAGATGAACGATTCTTTGTTTTTCAAGACAGGAAATGATCATGAGGAGTGGAAGCGGTAAATTTGCTCATTTTGGAAGCCTGTTCTACCAGTGGTACAAACCCAAAGCTACTTGGAACAATTTATGGACAAATGAATGAAGCTAGTCTGCAGTTCCTTTCAGCAGCAGAATCAGTATCAAAAAGAGTTATGACCACTTGCTGCTCCGCACAACATACAATGATTGTCAACCGAGATTCCAAAATTATGAATAGCTCCATCTAAGCTTTGAAATAAAAAGGAATTATGTAATGGCTTATACAGTCACGGAATAAATGTTAAAAAAATTAACATATTTTCGCATTAATTCTTGCGGCTAAACTACCCTGGTCCTAGCACATTGCAAAACACTACTGATTATTTAAAATGAAGGAAGTAGTCATTTATGTTCATATTTGAAAACTGGTTTCACATAATTCAAAATGGAAAATACTTGTAGATTTTACAGACAGCAAGATGTTATGCAGTTGGGCGATCCATGATAGATGCAAACGTGAATGAGAAACTTGTGAAGAACTGCTTATGTGGTACATAAAACAGTATTCATTGTGCCAGGAATTTGCTTGATTTTTTAAGCCTGTTCTCAACAGAAACAAACATATTGTTTCGAAGCAGCAAGTTGCCACAACTTTAGCAGCTACCATCTGTGATGAAGGACAGTTGCTTTGTGTTCTTCCTTGCTCAAGTTGTGCATTACCTCCCTCACTTCCTACTTAACCAAATTTTAGAGGGCTATTACATTACTACTGCAAATACCCCTATTTGTATTGCAACTGAACACAACATTTCATCAATTCTTGATTTAATCTTACTATTCTCTTTTAAGCTTTTAATGAATAAAACAACCTCTGTAAACTGTCTGCATATAATCGAAAGAATGGTTTCTCTAATATCCTTCAGATGGGAAGATGTTTTATAGGACAAGACATAAAACCACTTTAGTTTATGATATTTTCAGATACATGCTTTATCTTATATAAATAAATTGTATCTAACTTAAATATTACATATTTTAATGCAATTTTATGCAAATTCACATGCAGACTGGAAAGCTAATCACTCAAAAGATTAAAAAAAATCAGCGCGCTAGTTTTGAACTCAGTCTTGCTTGTACAGGCCACTGGGGATTGCCTACAGTGGCACATGACTGAGTCACAGGGTATCACTACACTGCATTACTTTGTTTTTCCTTCCCAACTAGACACTGCACATGCATTAAGGGGAGGGTCTCATTTCAACTAATTTTGGCATCTCAAGTTTTTTTAAGTTGGTCTTGTTATTGTTGTTGAAGAAAAAAAGCCCCTTTGGGTGAACTATTCCCTATAGTTTAGCCACCTCTTGCAGAATGAGACCCTATTCTTTCTGTTTAACATACATGGTGATGAGAGAGTAACTACTTAGACACTGACAATGAAATACAGATGTCCAAGTTTCACTCAGATGACTCTCATACAAAGATATCTATATGGAAAGTCAAGGTAGAGTAGCTAGTAAACGGTGAATTCAAACCCTAGTGTAAATTCCCTGTAAACATAGTCCCTTAGTTTCAGTTTCCTGTACTTAAAACTTGGATCCAAGTAGCATCCTTCTGAAAGCATGAAAAATTATAAACATGCTACCAGCAACTGAGTTGCTCAGATACTACAGTAAGTTACACATATTTGTATTTTGTATGTATATCTGTATGCATTCACAGTGCACATGCACAAAGGACTATAATTAGTATTAACAAGTTTATGGATGCTTAGGTATTTCCCTAACTTTGCAATCAAAATAATTTTTGGTTAAGTGTATCTGTGGATTATCTTTGAGGGAAAAAACAAAGATTAAATTCAAGTAGAACTCGTTCTACTGAACAACACTTGGGACCCCGAACTCCTGCACTACAGTAAATGCATAAGGTCTACCTTATGCAACAGGTTCAATAGACCTATCAGATTTCTTGCACCTAGCATGAGGCACTGCTGTTTCTTCCTTCTTATTTCCTTGCTGATCAACTACATCTCAACTGATGCAACAGAAGTGCCCTTTCCTGCAGCGCAATCTCATGTACCAGCTGTACCAATGGACCAGTGTGTCATCTGTTGAGAGCTCCTGTGGTATTCTTTTTGCTACTAGAGAAGAGGAGATGCCTGGAGCTAAAAGATGACATTATTCCAAACGGGAAAATGAACATGTAAACCCAAGGTTTAGCTGATGTGAACTCAACTGAAGTCTGTGTTTCTCTCGCCTTCTCTTCCCCTTTTCATGTGGTACCACAAAGACGACAGGCTGTGAGCTAAGGAGAGGACAACTTTTATATTTTTCACCTTCCCTTTTCACAATTTTTACAGTATGCTATCCAGTTGGTCTTCATCATCAGTTTAAGCTGTTTTATTAAAAGGAATTGCAATGAGACCAGCTTTTACACCTGCAAGAGGCTAGTAAGTTATAATACTGATATTTGAAAGCTGCTGGCTAGGACTAACACAACAGGAATAAGAGGTGTGCCTGCCAACATAGTGCGCTCTTGTTAAAAGGATGGGCACTGATACTGCTTTGCATGCTGTTGCCAGTCTCTCCGCCAAAAATGAAAAGCAGCATTTATACTGGCAGGATTTAAAGACTACAGCATTAGCATTCAACTGATACATGCTGCAGAGAGAAGAAATGTGATTATTTTCCTTTCTAGCTAAATCGTATGTGTTGTTATGCCATCTCTTCCTCTTTCTCATTTGATAATTTTGTGAATGATCACTAAAGCACCTAGTTATGCCTTCCCTTCTATTATGTGCCTGTTTTTCCTGACTGCTATTTTTCTTCCAGCTACAACTAAGAGAAAAAGAGGGGGAAAAATATTAGGCCAGACCTATGATACAGACAAAAGCAGTAACTGTGCACGGCAGCAGAATACTTGGTGACTCAAAACCATAACTGAATTCTCTGAAAACATTTTTCCAGTTTGCTTTGGACAGTAAAAGTTCATAGAGTTGATACAGGACATTAAATACAGATTTCTACAGGAAAACACCACAGAGGTTGATAGTGGCCTGGGAAAAGAAGGTTAGATTAACAACATCTCTGTTTTAAAAAGAAAACGTTGCTAGAGCATTTACAGAAGAACAAATATAATGCATTGTATTCAATACAAAAAATTGATTAGCATCATACTTTGCAAGAAAAACATTATACAAAACATTTAAATGTTAAGTATTAACAACCAACTAATTTACAAGTGTTTTATCCCTCAAATCTTTAAGAAAAATCTTGCAACTTTATACTCTGTTTTTGTACTTTTATCAGAAACTACTTCCATGGGAACAAAGAGTCATGGGTGGCTGGTGAGTCTCAAGTAGCAGTGAATCTACTACTTTTTTTCAAGCCTGTCCTGTGTCCACATCCCCTGCATGTCACAGAGATGGGGACTGTGCATTCTCACACAAATAACCCTAATTTTGCTCTTCTCATGCCTGCAGGACCAGCCCTTTTCTGCTATCTGGTAGTATCTGCACTTACAGAAGAGTGGCACAATTTGCCTTGAAGTGTAGGAGAGGCCCAGACATTTACTTTCTCTTTCCTGGGAATCCATTGCTCCATCAGGCTTGGATATCTCTAGTATTCCCGCGTTCTTTAAATCACCAAGACAAACATTCTTGTAGCATTCCCCTCCACCTCCTCAAACAGTCAGCTTTTCTGCATTTTGTACTGACTGGTTTATGGAGCTATGTGAATGCGTTGACTCTTTTTTTTTTTTTTTTTTTCCCTTTAGGTTCAGAGAGAGAGGTGGTTCTGTTTTACTTTTTCAAGCAGACAGATTCTTCCAATTTTTCTCCCAACTCATTGCGGATGACTTCTTACAATAAGGAGAGCGTGTACTCAAGAAGGCCGTTCAGGCAGCACGACAGAATCCTTTAGGACAGCAATATAGGTACAGGCTTCATTTCAAGAAAAAAAAAAGATTCATTTCCCCTATGACAACTCCAAAGAGTCTACAACTTGGCTCTCTGTGCTTGTAGATCATCCACACTGGCTGCACAGGATGGGAAGGAGGTTGTTTCTCAGCTGATTTATGCCAGTTTTGAGCTGAAGTCCCATTTTTTTGTTTATAGCCAGAGGGCAGCTTACCAAAGAACAGAAAATTGGACCTATGTAGGTGAAGCTTCCTCTCAAACTCTAAAGACGGTTGTCAGGGTACCAAGAACCACTTCAATTATGCTTTTCTTTATTGCAAATCCACGTTGTTTATTCTTCTCTGCCTCCTCCAAACTCACCTCTACGGCTGTTCCTTTCGAACCGTTTCCTGCCTCTCAACCCTCAAGCAGCTCAGTATTTCAATTCCCTTTACAATGATGTGCTTTCTTTTAGCTGTCTCTACACAGATTTTAGTAGTCACACGTTTAAGTACTCCCATTTCACAGGTGAATCACTCTCAGTAAAAATCTCCTAGAAATGAAGGTGCTTATTCCCCTCAGTATTTGGACAAACCTCCTAGTTTTCAGCACAGCTGAAATCGCAGATCACAATTCCAGAGAAACAACCAGGTCTTCTTCTGGTCCACAGACCTCAAGATGACTTATTTTCATTTGCCAACTGCCCTGAGTTAATCAGAGACATCTACTAAGTTCACAGAAGAACATTTAACCTGGTATTTACTTTACAGATGCCTAGGTGCAAACACATGTTAATCTTACTGTGGTCATTCAGATCTAGCACACGCTGAACAACTTCACAGTGAAGGTGTAACTGCTCCTTAGAGCAGCCTTCCAGTACCTAAAGGGCCCTGCGACAAAGCTGGGGAGGGACTTTTTACAAGGGCATGGAGTGACAGGACAAGGGGCGATGGCTTTAAACTTGAAGACGGAAGATTTAGATGAGATATAAGGAAGAAATTCTTCCCAGTGAGGGTGGTGAGGCACTGGTACAGGTTGCCCAGAGAAGTTGTGGATGTCCCATCCCTGGAAGTGCTCAAGGCCAGGTTGGATGGGGCTGTGAGCAACCTGGTCTGGTGGAAGTTGTCCCTGCCCATGGCAGGGGGGTTGGAACAGGATAGGCTTTAAGGTCCCTTCCAACCATTCTATGATTCTATGAATCCAACTTCAGCTCATCAATTCCAACGAACTTTCTGGAGCAATACTCATCTTCAGTGAACACACAACAGAGTAACTTTAGCTCTCCTATAAAGTTAGATTTGGGAAACACTTTTCAGTGACAAAAGGCTAGTGGGGCAGCCCAAGGATAAAACACCAGCAAGCATTAAAACCTCACTAATTTATCACTCTCTGCTTCAACATCTGTGTCTCTCACTATCAACCAGCACACTATAAAGACTGTTTGTGTAGACACTCTGGGTCATTTATTCAAAGAAAAAATGCTTGTAGATTTCTGATGGAAAAAGAGACTGATGAGCTAAGAGTATTGCAGGAAGTGATACATTTCCCAGGAATCACCTTTCCTTCATCTATGTACTGGGAACAGTGGTCAAGAGTTCTCTATTGTGCTCTTCCAGAGTTTACACCTATTGACAAGAAGTGACAGAATCAACCATTTCCTATTTTCAATAACCAGGATAGAATAAAAACAAAAGGCCTAAACAGAGAAGTAGAAGGCTGAAACTTGAAACAAATGAGCATGTTCCACAATTTCACATATATGAAATAAGAGCAAGAATTAGGCCAACTACTAAGAGAATGACTAGAAACGGGAACAAGAATTCTTCAATTGGACTGCATAAGATAATTCCTCCCACAGGTGAGGAGCCCTCTGTTCAGTGCACCAACAAGTTGATAAAGTTTGCTCCTGGTATTGACAATCAATACTGAACAGATACTCTGTCATTCATTGTGCCAGGAATCTGGAATTTCACTCTTCCACCCTTCCCTCCAAAAGCCAAAGTGGCCAAGAGCATGAACCAAGAGCAAGCTGCAGTCATGTTATTTGGTCACAAGAACCCATTATCTTCTAGCCTTACACATACATCAGTATATAAGATACTGATACGGTCCTCTGCTGATAAATTAAGGTGATTTTGAGTTTTGCTCCATGAACCCCAAGTGGTAACTCCTCTTAAACATGGTCTGATTGTCTTCATTCTCTAGCCTATCAGAACTACTATTAAGTGCACCTACCAGAACAACTAGAGTACCTAGCTTGTGCTGGAAAAAATAACACTAAAAACAGCAAAAGAAGATTGTTTAAAAAATAATTACTGATGCTGGAAGTTTTAATTAAAGCTGCTTGCTTGTTCATTTCCCATTGAGGAAGATTTTTGCAATCCACTACTTTTTAATCAAGAGTTTTACCATACTTTTTCCTTCAGTTAAGTGTCTAGGCCCAGAGTAGCTTTGTTTTGTGCTTAAGAAATATGAAACATTTACTCCAGCAAAATCGCTTATTCTCTTTCAGCTAGGCTACAGAAAATAAAGGGGGAAAAGAGCAGCAAACTGTACATGTAGTCCAAGTTTTAAAAACATATTCGTTGGGAGTTCAGCAGAAGTCTGATTCCTTATGTGATATTGCACAGGAGGGGGAGGGAAGTAGACTAAGATGACAACAGCAGTCTGCCTCTTCATTAACAGGTCAAGTCTTTTATCTTCCAGGAATACAAGTTCACTCTTTCAGTCTTTGAAGATAAAGTTGTTGTGTCAAAAAGGCATGCTAGCACAGAGTTGAAACAGAAGACCTCTTAAGAATAGATTTCTCAGTCAGCAACCTGATGATCGGTACATTCCATCTTGAAGTACTACAAAAATAGCATGCTTTTTTTCATTCGGTAATGCCTTCAATATGTACAGACGTAGACGACTTCTGTTCTTCAGCAATAAATATATATTCTGAGTTCTCTCTCTCATACTCTTTAAGTACTGTCACTTTTTAAACTTCCACGCAACTGGTGGAGAACTCTTCATTTATTGGCAGCTTCTCATTCTCAGTAATTTTCCTAAGTTTGATGGAGCACTAGATTTCCAAGAAAGAGAAAAACAAAATTATTTTCCTTACCTGAATTTTGTCTCTCTGAACAGGGATCTGCTGCTCTGTCAGGACTGACCCTGTGTTGGTTGCATTCAGCAACTCTTTTTGTATTCTGGCTTCACGGGGTTGGTCAATGTCTTTCTCATCAGAGGTTTTCTGGTTGGAGAGAGAAAGAATTGCAAATGTACTCTGCCTAGTACACATTTTTTTCTTGTGCCTCTATTCCAGCAGGGTGACTCATAGTTTAAATTTGTTTATTTTTCCTTGCAATTTTACAGCTTTGCACCTCTGACAGTAGGGCCTGGAGAGACGTCTGCAGTTCCACCTACTCACAAGCCGAGAGGGCTCCCAAACAGGCTTCCCAGCCGTGGTGGAGATGGGGAAAACCAGCAGTTTTCTGAGTCTGATGGAGCAGGGGATTTCCATTCAGAGAAGACAAAACTAATGAAGGAAATTGATTTTTCAACTACTGGTTATTTTAATCTGTCCATAGCAGTTTCAGTACCATGCAGGGTTTTTTTTTTCTGTCTTGCCTCAGAGTCCCTAGAAAAATTCTTCCCATCTGAAGGGTTTTCTATAGCTCTCAGCACTGTTAGTATCTACTATGCTGAGAGTTTCAGAAACAGATGTGTAATGAATTCCGGGATTAACGGGAAAGGTTGTATGTTAAAGAACACTACTTATAGGGCTAATTAGTTTCAAGACTGTAACTCAGCTGCTTAAGAGGATCTGAATGTTCTTGCTGTCAGAGAAAAGGAAAAGCAAAAAGTACTTTTATTCGAAAGACCACCATGCTTGTCCACTCTAGAAATAAGCCTTCGAGGGAAACAACAACAAAAATCAGTATTTGAGAGACTGGCAAGGGTTGAAGGAACTACATCTGCTGGACCAAGCCTGAAAAATAAAAGCAGAACGTACAGATATGCTACCTTTTTACAATATTCACTACTTCCTGGAAAAGAGTTCTTTCATCAGTAGCGTAACTGACTTCTAGTCCTGTAACTCCAGACCTGGTGAGCAAGGGGGCTTGGTCTCTGCTCCCTAGAAAATAAAGTAAAAGAAAAAAACCAAAAATCATTACAATTTAGAAGGAATTCCATTACTTCAGTCAACAATATTGCTTTAGAATAAAACATACAACTGAAAAGAAATATGGAATACAACCTATTTTTATCTTTAACATTAATTATTATCACAATTAATTCCATGGACTTATTTTGTTCCTCTTGGGCGGAAAAGTTTGTTGTTTTCACTTTGTAAAATTTTGCCATAGTGGTAATCTTGCACAAATTTTCAGATATAAATAGATTCGATTCAAGAGAAATTGCACCATTTTACATGTACAAGATTGCAGCTATTAGAAAATTATTTTCTAATAAGAAATGTTAAAGGACCATATGACAGCTTACACACAGTGTTTTCATGCAAAAGATGTATTTTAATTGCTAGCTTAGAGTAGTGCTTTGCAAAATACTTTTAAGAATTAAAATGATACATAACATAGTATAGTTCTTTTTTTGGTACACTTCTTAAAGAACACTGCTAAGTTACTAATAGAAATGTAAAAACACAAGCAACTGCTCGCTTACTGCACATTAAGAGTGTCTACATTGATAATGTGTGAATAATAGCTAAATTCATATGCATGCAGGAACTCGGCATCTGCCTTCCGTATAAAAACATCCTCTTGAATAATATGCAACATACACTCTGTCTTTTCATTTTCTCTATACAGCAGATACTAATATCTCTGATTAAGGCAGCAATCTGGAGTTTTTAAAAGGCATTCTACTTTAATGCATTCTTAAGATCTTGAGAACTAAAAAGAAGTGTGCTTTCAGAAATAAATGTTAAAATGAGTACTGTAACTTACAAAGCAATAATAATACAAAAAGGGAGGCAAAAAAAAGAGGTATATCTCAATGTCAAGTCACTTCACAGGGAACTCAAAAAGTTCTAACCAAGAAAATATTGACAGCACACATCAGTTAAAGCAAGAAATGTCACAATAACATTTAAACACATCATTTTATTTCGTTAACAAAAATAGATCAGAAACTCTGTTTTTTCAAAGTATTATTGGACCTCTTTACAGAGAGCTTTTTCTTGATAATTTATCAGTGGCACACACCTAGGAAGCCATAGCGGCTATACTGTGAAAAATCTCACTTACTAAGGTAAGAGAGATAATTTTTTTTAAAGATAGTAACAAGCATATAATACCAGGATAAACTTCACTGAGAATAGTAAGAACTTAGCTTAACATGACAGAATATCTACAATACTTTGAAAAATAAACTGGTAAAAGAAGGAGCTGTTGCCTTAATGCTAAATTTATTTTTGATAGGTTTTTGTCCACACTTAAATTTTAGACAGTATTTTGTGGTTTAATGTATATTCACAATGCCAAAGAAACCCTGAAAGAAAGAAAGAGGACTGGTTTTTTGGTGTGTTGGTTTTTTGTTTGTTGTTTGGTTGGTTTTTTTTCTCTTCTCTTCTCTACTAGCCTAAACCAGTGGTACTCAACCTTTAACAGCTGGAGAGCCACTTCTTTATTAAATGGAGTTGTAGAGCACCATAAAAATCAAGTATCAACAGTGTGATTTTTTTTTTTTTTTCCCCATCATGACACTTCAATGTGTGATGATGTTGCCTCAACATCATCACATATTGATACATCACGACATGACACATCAGCATCCTCTCTCCCAGCAGCATTCTGCCTTCAACTCCTTCTGGCTGCTAGGAAGGAGTGGGGTGGAGGGGTGGAAGAAGGGGCAAAAGGGCGACTTTTTCCCCATTCTGCCCCACAGCTGCTGGGTGGGAGGTGATCTCTACTCTTACCTGTGGGGGGATCCCAGCAGCTCCTTTTCTTTCCCCCTATGGGAGGGGGAACTTCAGCGACTCCCACACTGCTGGTCCATTTGCTCAGTGCTCCCCGCGCTGCCTGATAGAGTGGAGCGCCGATCAGACGCCTACATTGCGAGAGCCGCCTGTAGGGCCATGAAGAGCCACATCCGGCTCTAGAGCCACAGGTTGAGTATCACTGGTCTAAACAAAGCCAAAAAGGTACAATAGAATAAGGGCCCCTGTTTAGATCCTAAAAGGATCAGATAAAACCACAAAAATAACCCTTAAGTAAAATATAAAACATACTGTCTTGCTTTTAACATTTTCTACTTGCAGCTATCCAGCAATTTGAGTAGGAAACTAAAGGCAGGTTTTCCTCTTTATACTTTTAGAACACTGCAGGAGCTTGTCCACAAGTACGCAAACATAGATGATTTGCACATGCTTTATGTTATTTGTGGTTTACAGCCCATGCAATAGTTCTTTGGAAGATATAAGCAGGAAAACTCTATGTTTAATATGGTCATTCATCCAACAGTCAACAAGACAAAATTAAATGAGCTAAATAAGCAATATAGATACTCGATTGTATTTTGCTTGCTACTGTTTGATTACGATGAAATAAGCATTTTTGTAAAATATGTTAAGAGAAAAGAAATAGGAACCTTGGCTTGAGAGTGTCCTGTCTCTATCAATCACTATAGCACCAGTGATTTCTTTTTTATCAGTATTTGGTAGTGCTGTGTCTGATGAGATGCAATAGAATAAAGCACAGATCGGATCAAACTCTGGGTCTGGTTCCAAATCTCGTCTGGTTCGAGCATGTAACTCCATACTGATGAGAGTAAGGTGTTGGACCTACCAACAAATAAAATACAGTAAGTTAGTATGTTTTGGAGTTTTCTTCAAGAAATTTAAGAGGAGATTATTAGCGCAAATTAGTGCATTGCAGACATTCATATGGTCATATTATATTGTAATTAAGAGGTCACACCCGAAAATTAACAAAAGTGATTAAACATGTATCTCTGGATCTCAGTTTTTTGCAAAAAGCATTATATTACAAAAAACCTAATCATTTATTAATCGCTAATTAATCACTAATTTTTATACTCAATTATTAAAATTCAGTATTTGTTTCTGAGTACTATCTTCTTCCACCAAAAGCAGAAAATACAAACAGAAATGTTCAACATCAACAATTGTAAATTCCTGTAATGTTTTCAAACAGCTTTGCGTATTGAGCTGAATTAAGTTTCCGGACTGATTAAGAGCCAAGAATCACTGCTGGTCTTTATTTTTCTTTCCCTCTCTCACCCAAGATGGGCCAACAAGCATGAAGACTAAGTCACTTACAGAAAGATACACAGAATGCCTAACGTTCCCTTCACTTGCGTTAGTGAACTTCCACATCATGTTGCTGCAGCTTTTTACAGAATGGTTTGCATTAGGAAAATTCTAATCTCTATATATTGTACAGTTTTGACTCTACAATAAATACTGTAGTATTTAATACTGTTTCAACACTATGTTGTTGCTCTGTTGTCTTGCATAGTACAGTTGATAATGTGGACTAATGGGCAAGTTGGAGGGATTACAAGGGAAAAGTTACAAATATTTCTGAGTATGTAAACTGCCCTGGGGCAGCCTGATTTCCTCTAGATTTGCATCCTAAATCACTACAGCCATCACTGAAATGAAATTTTACTACCAAGCTCTATCTCCATTTCCTGCAAAATCATCAGTTTCTTGTGGCTTCTCCTATGTCATATCCTCAGTGCATAAAACTGCTATCTCCCCATCTCATCTGTCAATTGGCCACAGCTAATTCCAAGCCACAGATGCAGTGACTGTCGGGAGCACATACACGCTGGCCGGCCAGTTAGCAGCCAGACACAGCAGTACTGTATTCACATTGCATCCCTTTCTCCAGCACCTATTTTGATCTCTCTTCCTGGACCAACCACTGATCTATGTGAAATGTGTAGAGACACTCTTTGAGACATGTACCATTTTGTTAAATGTAGTAGAATCTGGCCAACAGGTTCAGAAGGGAACATGTAGAGATACTGGGAGGGTCAGACTGACTGATGCCAGGTGCCTTGTTTCTTAAGGAAACAAGCCATGAAAGTTATGGTCAAGTAGTTCTTCCAGTAATGTTTTTATACAAAACTTATTATTTCTTCCTTCTGATCTCTCCCTTATTTTTATTTTTTAAAGGAAGGTTTACCACCTTCTTAAGAAAAATACTCTGAAATTTAGTTCAACACTATTACAGGCACTTGGGAGTTCAAGCTGAAACTAATAGAGCAACTACTGAAAGCTGCAGACATCACACACTGATTAATTTTAAGTCAGGAAGGGACCAAGGAGGAAAAGATTTTTAAATTCTATTATAAAACTGATCTGATAAACTATCATTTTATAAAACAATATGTAACAGTAAATTACCTCATGTAAAGATTTTGCTTCCTGCAGGTTTTCCACACTGACTTTAAAACCGTAAGTGTTATTTAAAGATGGTCCTTCAATTTGAGAAGTCTCTTTCTTTGGAGCGCCGAGGGCTGTGAATTGATTCTTATTGGAGGGGGAAAAAAATAAAAAGAAAAAAAAAAGTACAGTATAATATTGAAAAAACTACAGGCTGCTAAATTAATATGCAATATTAAATACAAATTTATCAATGAAAATGCAAATGCTACACTACAATTACTAAAAAAAAAAAAATGCTTTCGCCATCCTCCTCATGTCATTTTTCAACAGGGAAACAACAGTTGTATCTTTCTGCCTTTTAGGAATAATTTTAACGAAAGCTCATAGTAAAGCAAGAGGCAGTTTGAAATACTTTAAAACCAACAAAAAAAATCCAACAAACACAAAACCCCCAAAGCCCACACATACTGGCTTTCTTAGAAGCCCGAGGACAGGGGAAGCAGCAAATCTCTATTCTCTCTTGAGCGACAATTCATCAAAACCCTCTGTTTCAGTCACCACTTTTTAAAGCACCGAATTAAGGGTACACTTAAGTACCCACTTAAATTAGGTGAATGCCAGTATGTTGAGAATAAGAGAAAAGACTATTGGGTCATTTCAGTAATCCACCTAGCCCACTGTTCTGTTTCCAGCATGGCGAGCAGAAACACTGTTTAAGGAAAACATGCGAGTCTGATCATTTTATGTGATCCATTCCCCTTTCTACACTGTCAGCATATGAATGTCATTCACTGCCTATGTTTTTTTCAGAAAATGCTTAGAATATTGTCTGAAAACTAATGCACACAGAAACATAAATATACATATCTCTGTGTGCATATATATATACACACATTTATAAAAAAGGGAAATCACAATACAACTTAAAAAGGATGTTGCAACTAAAAGAGCAAAACAACATCCTTACCCAGTGTCTCCTCAGTGTTTCATTAGCGTCTCACTGCTCTGAAACATAGAACGTGCTCTCAATATCCAACTTTTCCCCACTCTGTAAATTAAACTGATTTCTTCTTCCTAACTTTGAGTGTACACTGATTCTACAGCAATTGCTCCCTACCATTTTAAATGTATTTTCAAGATCTTAAAAGCAAAAGGAAAAAAACAACACAGAAGAAAGAGAATGGAAATGTGTATGCATGTCATAATAAAAATCTTAATTTACCTTCATTTGTGTCGTTAGAAGTACTCTTCGGAGACCATCAGTATTATTCCCCCTTTTGTGGCTCAGTTTCTGGGCTTTTGTTTCTGTAAACATATATGAGTGCAAAACTGCTTAGCCTCAATAATATTGTCTAGACATTAAACAACATGCTATAAACAACCAGAGGCATTCGGTTAACATTATAAACAAATATTATATATATATAAACAAATACAACTTTATTACCTGTCCAATCCAAAGTATAACTATTACAATTTGGTATTTCTAGACATTTAGGAATGTATAGTACAAGGCCAGTAAGTTACCAAACCTCATGTGACTATTTTCTTGAACCCGGCAATGTTATTCACACTCTACATTGAGATTATGTTCGGAAAAATACAAGCAATATAACCAATGAGATTTCAAAATCCCCAAAACAAGCTATAGTTTTAAATTAAGTTTTTAACCAGCACTTCAGAGTTCAGGTACTAGAGACGATCAGGAAGCAAAAGGGTGTTCTGCTTCTAGACTTTTTCATAATTCAATAGTTACTTAACAATAACACACAGGCTTTTTCCTTTCCAAAACTAGTTTCAAATATATTTTGTGGAGATGTAATTCTTCTCTCCTTATGTCAAAAGAAATATAACATCACATTCAGAAATCAGTGTATCATTGGAAAAAAGTATATCATTAGAATCACTTAATGGATTTACCTGTGGATAAAGGAGTAAAACCAAGAACTTCAGGTACTCCATCTTGATTTTGATTCTGCACAATGGGTGTACTATGTAGGCAAATGGATGCAGGATTTCCAGGATCTTCATTAACTGGAAATGGTGATGTGTCAAACGATGCCCTAACCTCTTCTTGGGTGGATGGAGAGTTTTGTGCACTTCCAGCAGGTAATACAACATTTCTTTCCACAGAAGACAAAATAATATCCTGACTCTTCCACTCTGTGTCTTCCAAATTGGACTGTTTGGGATCTGGAGACACTACTTGCTGCCAAGGAGGAAGTACCGGAGAATCTGGTGAACTGTAATTGACATAATAATCTTCCTCCTCCTCCTCCTCCTCATGTTCTAGTGTTGAAGTAGTAAGTGTCTTGCTTTCAGATGGAGTTTTGTTAGAGTCTATGTCATTTTTAGTACTTACAGAAGTTCCTGTAGTGCTTATAGACTTATCACAGGTTTCCTTGGTTTGTGTTTTTGTAGTTTCTGCCACTGAAGCAGGAGAATTCTTTGTAGGCACAATAGGTCTTTCATCTTCCAGGCTAGATAAATTTAAATCTTTAGCTGCTTTTACTACTTCTACAGATTTCTCTTCAGACAATACTGGAGAGCTGAAATTCTCAGCTGCCTTTGCCAGCTCAGCAGGACAATTCTTAGGTAATTTCTTGAAATGTTCATACTCTTCTTTGGCATGAAGCCATATCTGAACTTGCTGTTGGCTTGGAGCACATTTACATGGCATTATGACTATTTTTTTGTCTTCACTAGTTTTATGGCTATTACTTTCTCTTTTATTAATGGTAGAGTGACCGTAACGAGGAGGAGACCCTGGTCTAGGACTTTCTGTCATTGCTGAAAATGCAGTCTTCCAGAGTCGTAGACCTTCTAATGAGAAGTCCCCCTCAAACTCAAGCAGATCATTTGGAAGCCTAGTTTCCACTGTGAGAAGCCGTCCTCCAATCTCCCTGTGAAGAAAACAGTTTGAATTATTGTTTTGCTCTAAACTGCCCTGCAGGCAGTCCTCAAGATGATATATAAGCAGAGTCCTGCTAACTAGTTTTCTCACTATGCAATTCCCGTGGGCAGTATCTTTCTTTTACAAACCAAGCAGGCACATTCCCACTTACTACGATAATATCAAGCAATAAAAAACCCAAAGTGTCATGAACGAAAATGGGTACTTGCATGGGAAGTACAGTAATCTTCAGCTTCAAATGTATGTATATCAGATGGGATCTTTCATGTATCTTTGCCATGTAACAGCATAAAATTGTTTAGAGAAATAAAATAAATTTAATATCATCACAGGCACATGTAGACAGACTAATTTAACACAGTACCTTGGTTTTTCTGGAGCATCTGAAGGATTACTGCAAAACGGTTCCTGATAAATTGTTTCTGCGAGATCATGATCCAGCAAAGTTGCCATGATTTCTTCACGACTGGGTGGGGACATGAGAGGCTTAAGAATGTGAGCAGTACGAGGTGTAAAACTTCCATTCTTTGATTGTGAGGGAGAACTGGTTGATCTTGGTGAACTATCTGGAGTTGGAGTTAATGCCTCATTGTTTCTCGAAACATACAATTCTAAATCCTCAGAAGCTGCATCTATAAGTTCACCATCAGGAGAAGACAATATGGATGTAGAAGAGGTATTAACTGAATCAAGTGGTTGACAAGGTTCATAAGTGGTTTCTTTTCTAATGTGGCTTTGAATCCAGTCTGAGCTGGTTGGCTGTGGAAGGTTAAGAAATCTCTCTTTATTTACTGTATTTCTATTCAGTTTGAATTTTTCATTTAAATAGGCCTCAGTCTCTTGTGCACAAGAGGTACTGACAGAACTAGATCTAGGAGTTGAAGGATGAATGTTTTTCCTCCATTGGCTATGGCAGTGGTTCTCATTATTATCCAGTGAGGTTTTCTCAAAAAGCTCAGGGCTCAGGGAACCAGACCGTATCCATTTACTTGTGCTTGAAGAATGTTGCTTTTCTTCCTCAGATTTTTGGTCGTTATGACACAGAAAGTCCTTTTCTGTTGTTTGTCCAGAACCAAGATCTTGAACTGCATCACTCAAGAATTTCTGGGGCAAATTTTGATCTGCTGGGACAAACTGGCTTGCGGAATAAAAACTGCAAAAGCCAGTTTGCCCTATAGTATTAATATCGAAGTTGTAATTGTGGTCTGGAGACAAGCTGTCTTCAAGAGAGTAGCAGCTTTCAAAACCAGGGTCTGAAAAAAAAATGGGGCTGTCATCAGACACAGAGTGATCAACGCGACTAGTGATCTGCTGGCTTAAAGACTCCATTTTTGAGAGTTTTGGTGCTTTTTCTTTAGGTTTTGTATTCCTGGGAGCACGAGATTTTCTTGGTGATGTGACTGCCCGTGACCTTTTGATTGCTTTATTCTGTTCAAGAGGGCATATGTTCCTGCTCAGCTGTGTTTTAGCTGGTAATGGTTCCTGTATAACATTTGCATTCTGAGCTTTCTGCTGTCTCTTCTGGAGCAACTCTTTCAAAACAGCTAGGCCAGACTGTCCTTCACTGAATGCTGATGGGGACACTATAGTCCTGTTTTTATACTGGGAGATGGGTTTTGGTTGCATGGTTGTTTCTGACAGAGACCTTTGTTTTACTGTTTCAGGTTTAAAATGTGACATATCCAAAATAAACCCTCTCTGGTTTTGATCCCAATTTAACTGTTTCACTGGACTCTTCAAAGATGTTACAAAACAGTTCTTAGGCAATTGAAGTGTCCCAGGGCTTTCCTCAGATGACTTCAAAATAGAAGAACAAGGATCGGAATGCTTGGATGCCTCTGGTAAACAAAAAATCTGCTGTTGATTATTGTCTTTACAATGCAAATAGTTAGTGGCATGTAACTGATCCATCTTTGCTGTGTCCAAAGACTCACGAGCTTCATTTAACTTCCCAACTGGTGGTAAATACCTGTTTTGCAAATTTTTTATCTCTTCTCCTTTTGCAGAAGTCTTATCTTTAGAGATCAGTGCATTCTGTGTTACCCGAGGTGAATGAGTAGATGGATCAGATGTGTTTTGAATGAGAGTAGAATCCTTCATTCTAAATATAGCACTTTGAGTCCGGGGCCTTTGAGAGCTCATTTTTGGTACTTCCCTTCCAGATGCCACAGGAGTAGATGCAAAAGATGAATGAGGGTCTTCTCGTGGAGCAGGTAAACACTGTGCATCTACAGGCTTATCAATTTCCATCAATGAATGAAAACAGCCTGATGAATTACCTTGTGCATCAGCTGCTGAAGGGAGCTGTGCAAAATATCCTTCGTAATAGCCAGGAAGAGGACAGTCTTTCCGGTTATGAAGTGGCTGCGAGTTGACAGAGTTGTAAGAAATCTCAGGCAGATCTTGATGTTTCAGCACAAACTTCACTTCTGCAGTAGAGCGAGTATTTCCTTTTCCATCTTTAAATACAATGCGCTTTCTTGAGGATGCTTTTTCAGCTGTTTTTTGTCTTTGTTTTGTTCTAGGTTTCTTCTTGCCATCATCTGCTGTTTCATCAGCCTGATTAACCTTTTTCTTTTTCTTGGTAGATACAGTGGGGCTAGCAAATTTCTTTTTACATTTCTTAACCTGAGTTTTTGCACGACTATTTTTTCCTACACTAAAATTAACAGTCTTGCTGTTGTACATATTGGGCCCCCTACTAAATAAAGCTTCTCTGTCCAGGTTGGTCAAAATTTCTTCTGCTTTTGGATCAGTTGGAGACCAGCAGCGAGGTGGAGATGTGTTTACGGGGCTTGTGCTTCTCTCAGAAAGAAAACCTAACTTAGACATAACATCACTATAGTTACAGTCACAGTCTTCAGCTTCAGCATTGTAGGATGGCAAAGGAGGAGAAAGAATTGTATGAGTCCTTTTTCTGAAAGATAAAGTTCTTTTAATATTTTTACTACCTGTTTTTTGTGGTTTTCCAGCTTTTTTCTTGGTTGACTTATGTTTTGCTTTCCTTTTGTGACTTTTCTTTGGTGTTAGTGGATAAATAGGATATTTGGTTGCAGGAGAGTCAGGAACTTTTGGCCAAAAGTCCTTTAAAGGTGCAAGCTTTTTATATAAGTTCATCTTTTCCTCTGTGAGTACAACTCTTTCCTCACTAGAATCTACTTTCCCTAGTTTAACAAGCATATTTTTTCTCCCTCTAAATCTATTGATGATAATATATTTAATAATAACAGGTGGCAATTTTTTAGAAAGTTTTCTACGCTTTCGTGACTTCTGAGACCCATCCAAACTTTCAACACTTTCTATCGGTTGAGGTAGATTAATTTTTGAGTTGTGTGCGACAAAGCTTGATTCACTATCTTCAGTCTCGTAGTTTACCTTCCGTTTCGTTCGAAGCGTATATTTATTCCCACACAATCCAAATGACTGCTCAGCTTCAAGAGATCCATCTGCAAACTGGCAGTCAGTATAATTAGCAGTACTTGTAGGCATTTTGTTTTCAAAAGCCTCAAGAGGAACTTGAACTAAGTCACTAGGTAAAGCACTATCCTTATCAGGAATGTTACTACAAGCATTACCTTGTGTATAGCAGCTTCCCTTCTCTGATGCAACATCATTTACGCTTGCAGGCTCCTGATGATGGATAAAACCATGTTTCTTTTTATTCAGCTTCAACCTGGACTGTTTGTTGCCTTGCTGTAATTTATAGGTCACCGGAGCTAACTTCTGTGGTCGGCTGAGACAATTAGAAAGAACAACACTAGGAAAGAACATATAATGTGCTGCTTGTTGACTGAGGCTTGGCTTTTCTGCCTTATGCTCCTGAAATTCTTCATACCTAATTTTAAGCTTATTAAGGCCACCTTCATCAGTGTTATTTTCAAGTGAATGTACCACAGTTCGACTGCCTCCTGAACAAGACACCAATTCACAATTTTCTGTAACTGTTGCTGGAAAAAAACTATTTATACTTGCACTGCTGGATTTTTCATTTACTTCAGAGGACATTTTACCTTTGGAGTGGCTCAAATCGGAAAAGTTAAATAAGTTTTTATTCAACACGCTGTCACCAATGTGGCGACCCACATGCATAAAAGAAACATCCTTTTCAGCCTTTCTAATGCTAGTATACTTCCGACTAGGTATCTGTCTGCTCACTGATGAAATGTCGTCTTCATACTCAAAAATACTGTTTTCACATGAAGGAACTGGGAGAGTATCTTTCTTGTTACTTTCTTTGTGAGAGTTTTCTGCATGGGTACTATTGCTGAATGGAGTTGGGTACTTTGCTGAGTAAGTGCTTTCTTTTGTAAGAGAATGGACTGAAAGTTCAGGTCTTGTTTCTGTGTTTGGTTGTGAGCGGTCTTCTACTAAATCTTCATTATTCAAAACACGGTTAGAAAGGGCACTTGTGTGTTTACACTGAAAAGTAATTTTAGCAGAAGATGGGGGTTCTAGCGTAGCAGCATCTTTGTGAAAGATTGAGGTCTTTACAGACATTTTGCTTGTTGCAATGACGGAAGAGTGAGTTCGAGAACTTTCATTATTCAAAGGATTGTCTGAAATGGAAGACAAGAAATTTTACTCTAGTTTTCCTGTAAAAAAAATAACCTAAGGCATTAACCATTTTAATGACATTTTCCTGAAAGTCCTCCCATCCAAAGAAGAAACTAAACTCTTGTCAATCACATTGCATTTATGATCATGACAACTAGAGACCATGAGTACATGAGCTGCTTTATCAAAATCCCGTTGTCAGTACATGTGTGTCTCAGTTGTTCTGTCAGATACTCCTAAATGGTAGGCCTGCATACAATTGCCAAAGATTTCATGCTGGTTTTCTGAAAGAAGGCTTCTAAAATCACTTTCAGATAACTAAATACAAACAGACTGATTTCTAGAAAAGTTTGTATCCTGCTTTGTGTCTGAGAAGTATGCATACTCATTGGCTCTGAAAAACAAAGAACCTATTTGGATGACTTCTCCCATATAGAAAAGTCATTGCACACAAAGCTAAAGTACTACCTTACAACACGGCAAAGGCTTTGTATTAACTGTCCTGTGCGCTAGGCATAGGTAGTTTGCTGCACTTGTATAAAGCAGAGCAATCCACCACCTTTTCTCATGTTTATGCAAGGAGCTCGCACCATTTAGCTACTTCATGAATTCATATCCATGTGTTAACATTCCCCCACAGATCTGCAACCAGCATGTGCTGCGGTAACTGTCCTGTGCAGACTCATCACACAATACCTGGGGCGATTTCTCTCTCTTCTGCTGATACTTTCACGACATTTACTGCAGGATAAGTGTGGACAAGCAGGTGGCAAGGAACAAATTAACAACTGGTTTGCAGCAACTGCGTGCTTGCTCACAACCACAATGAACACCAAGTCATTTGAAGGAGTTTATTCCTCTGCAGAGAGGCTGTTACCACAGAGCTCCTGGCACACAGCAATTTGTTTATGTGTCCACATCTTTAGCTGAAATGCTGAAGGGCGACAGGAGTTATGAAACATGCTGTGTGACCTGAAAGCACGTGCTGCATGCTGTCATACTAGACAGGGGATCCTTTGCACCTTTGCCGTAAGTCTCAACCAATTTGAGGATTATCTTAGATTCATGCTGCCTTCAGCTTAGCAATGTATGTGTTGCCAGGTGAGAAAAATAAAAGGAAGTCTCAATCTGTTCCTAATACCATTTTCTAATGCATACACAGAGTGCCTGAGCTGTGAAACACAGCTGGGAGATGCTGCCCATGATTCTTTGAGGGTAGGAGTCCACACAAAGAATGACAACAATTAACTGAAAACCAAGAAAATGGGAGCTTAGTGAAGTGTCAACAAACACTTGGAAGCTGACTATTCAGATATAAAAACTGCAAAAATACTTGTCAGTCAGACGTTATGGACATAGATTTATGTGTGGATAAGCACTTTCTGATTTAGAGTTTTGAATTTACTGCACCTCCGACTCTAAGAAGTTTATGTAAAAGTTCACAGTAATAAACTCTTTCTAAGCTGACATTCTTCTTCTGCAAGTGATATTTCATACTTAAAATATTCTAAAATTTAAACAATTTAAGATACAGTCTTACAAGCCAGAAGCATCCCTTTTTACATTAAATTACAAAGTAGTGCAAAATAAGGAAACTACAATTATGTATTTTGCAAAACCAAATCCTATTAGTAGTACATCAACTCCTGCATTAACCCCACCATTATACCTATAAAAGCAAAGGAAAAAGCAAACTATGCTTTAAACAGTGGACACAACAGAATAGCTGTGGTTGTCTATGTAGTAAGATCATACAGCTCACTTTCTTTAATAAAGAATTGCCAATAGATATATTAGGACGTATGTATTTTATATACTAACATATGATGTTTGTTATTTTTGTCAAATACCTTGAAGATACACAAATTAATACAGAAATTTTGTTAGGATTACATTCCTGTCCCAAAGAGCAAATGCAATAATAGGAAATTAGGTACATGCATGAGCACAAACAAGATTTTACATTACCCAGTTTGTACCATGGATTAAGAAAGAAGCTTCTGTACAAAGTGATGTTAACCACAAATTTCAAATTTTAAAGGCAACGCAGTATGACTAATACAACATTTCTAAGCAAAGAAGAACAATTACTGTTGATTAGACCAAGAAGAAAAGTTAACCTAATACTGAGAAGACCCTGGATACAGATACATATTTTTCCCCACAAGATCCATACATTTTACATTGTTTTGCTCAACAGAATTTTATAAATGTGAAAATATGCAATTGTCTAATGAAACAAATAATAGTATTTACATATCTGCCTAACCTCAAAGTGTGCATTCTATTAACTAAGGCTATTTGATTGAAGACAGCAGGTTATAAAGAGATAAGCAAGAGTAGCAAGAGAGATCTCTACAGATTAATTTAGTTTTTCATAGATTTTGAAAGGCAGTTTCTTCTGCATCAGCTTTGCCACTGCATTGTTTCAACTCATGCAATCCCAAATGTGAACATGCAATCTGCTGAATAAAACACAGGCTCAAACAAAGGCTCACTATATTTTAGCATGTGTGGCAAATACTTGCAAAGCAAAGAACTATCTAAATTTACACAATAATACATTTACTATTTACAATTAAATCCTAGCATAGGATAAATGATTTTACAGAATCATTAATTTTAACACCACATTTGCATAAAAAATAGTAACAGAAAAACATCCCTTGCAACAAGGTAATGATCTTTTCCACAAAACTAATTTAAAAATGCCCTTTTTTGGATCATTAATACAATAGGAAAAGCAGATTCTTGTAATTTGTAGAGGGCATTGAGATTAAGGTATTGTTGGCTTATAAGGAAGATGTTAAGGGCCTGCTTCTGCAATCTGTTGAAAGCATTTCCTTCCAATTGAAACAATAATTGAGAACGGTTAGCACTTTGGAGAACTGACAAATTGATTGGAAAACAAACTATGAACCAGGTAATTCAAAGTTCAAAGCTGTTCTCTTGTTTACTTACCACCATTTTCATCGGCAGTCCCATCTAACTGAGGTATAGAGAGATTAGTTAGGAGCACATTGTTACCACTCCACTCCATTTCTTCCCCTGAAGATGAATCCTCTTCTGTTGAGCTTTGATGCGTATTTTTGCCAGCTGACCTAGAGAAAATGGACTAATTAATGCACAATACTTCTCTTAGAAAATACCAATAGCCACAGGGAACCTCAAAACCAAAGGGGTGTGCTGCTATATGGTTGTGTAATCTGGGGGAGCAAAAGGAAATAAACAAAAAAATTGTTGCATTTCTCACTGAGAAACTCAAAATAGTAACATTGAAGAATATTTTAAGAGGTAACAGTGGCAGCCAACCATTTAAAAGCTACAGACAAACTCAGCAGGATTCACTGGCTTAAGAAGTCAGAAAGAAGGCACCGAGATGCTTGAATTTATTTCAATCATACTACAATTTAATTTCATTGCTTGAAAGTGCTTGAAATTTGAAGACTAAACCAACTATACAAAATTATTTCAGTTTACCTCCTAGCAAACTTTTTTAAGGATTCTTTACTGTATTATAACAATTCTCTCTTGGCAGGCTTAACGAAATCACAACCATCAAAACAATGTTTGTTTCCATCCCTCCTTGAAGATTCTGAAGTTGCTGTTGCTAGTACTTAAGCTGCTTGTACTAAGTTAACTGTTCTACACTGACATTTTTACAGTCAGGAATTTGCTGGGGGAAAAAAAGTAGTAGTAAATCTACAAAGCAAAGCTTCTACAAATTCTTCATGTTTTTAAGGTAGCACAGCTTTATATGGGAGAAAAAAAGAAAATAAATAGAAAAACCCCCAAACCAAATCCTCCAGTATATTAGAACTCTAGAAGCACTTAGGAATTTGATTTCTTCTTCTTTAAAATAAGGGGTGAGATGGACATAATTCTTCATAGAAATAAGCCATTCTGTGGCTACAAGAGAGAAATCCAGATAAATATTAAAGAACTGAGGTTTGAGGGGTTTTTTGGTTTTGTTTGTTTTTTGTCTTTAAGATAATAATAATCTATCCTAGTAGCTTGATACATCAAAACATTATTGTGTAGCACCTTAAAAGGGATAAATACAAAGATTTTGAAGTTATAGGAAGGAAAATCCACAATAACCTAAATACAATCTACTTCTGAAGAACCCTTATCTGTGGAGTTCGACCAGAGCATGAATTATATGTATCCTAACACCACAGACATCTGAACGTGCTCAGCACTGAGCCAACTTCAATCAAGCCATGTTTATTAGTTCAGGAACAACAGACTCAAATATGGCTACATGATTTCCAGACTAACTCAGGTCTGGAAGCAGCATGACTTGGAAGAGAGACTTAAGTAACAAGCACAGCTAGGTACACAGTGGCCACAACCTAACTGAGCTTTGTTCTCCTTCTTCTATGTTCCCAAAACATGGGAAAGTACAGTGCAAAGACATTCGAGCTCTATATGCAAATGAATATCAAACTGAGGAGAGCAATCAACACTCTGGAGAGTAGGGCTGCTATTCCAGGGGATCTCAAGCGGCTGTGGAATGAGCTGCCAGCAACCTCATGGACTTCAAAAAAGGCAAATCCAAATGTCCCACAAATGGGATGAAATAACCCCATGCACTGCTACAGGCAGGGAGAGAGCTTACTAGGAAGTGGCTTTGCAGAAAAGAATGCAAAAGCCCCAGCGGACAACTAGCTGAACCCCAGAGTGTGCATGCAGGGTGCCTTGTAGCAAAGTCGGCCAGTTGCCTCTTGGGCTGTGACTACCAGACTGCAGCCAATTTCAGCGGCTGTGAGGCTGCAGCTGGAGCACTGTGCTCAGTTCTGGGCATCCCACTACAAGACAGACACTGACAAGCTGGAGCAAATCCAGCCGAGGAGCACAAGGGTGACTGGGGGCTGGAGCTCACGATGGATGTATAAGGAGAAGCTAAGGGAATAGGATTTATTCAGCCTTGAGAAAAAACTAGGAGATCTTGTTGCACTTGTCAAGGATCCGATGAGTGGGTATATAGAAGATGAAACCAGATTCAGAGGTATCCAGCGATATGAAAGGGGCAATGGGCATAGGGCTGCCTCAGGGAATGTCATGTACAAGGAAAACATTCTTCGTTATGAGGGTGTTCAAACACTGGGACGTGTTGTCCGTATAGGTTATGGAATCTCTGTCTTTGGAGATACTCAAACCTTGACCAGACAAGGCCCTGAGCAACTGATCTATCCAAAGCTGCTTTGACCAGGCCACTGGACTACATAGCATTTAGATGTTTCTTCCAACCTGAATTATGCAATAATCCTGTGCATGAAGCAGGTCTTTGTCAACTTTAGTAAACCCAGTCAGGTTGGAGACAGCTTCTGCAGATAAAAACTTGGATCTCTCTGCATTCAGGAAAATTTGTGTAACACAGCATGATACCACCATGCATGAACCAGTCCAAGTCTTGATGGGCTTTTTTTCTCTCCAGTTCAGCACAAATCAAACCCAAGCCATTTAATTCACTCAGTAGATTATTGTTACTCCTCATTATCTCAATATACTTTGAGATAACGGAAGATTGGTGAATATCCAATAACAGAAAAGTGGTAATATGGATAAAGTAGCATGTATTACGAAGTAGTACAGATATAGAACGAGCCTGAGTAGAGTAAGGTTGAATCCATCGTCAGACTGAAACTGGCTCTTTATGCATGAGCAGAATCATGTAGGTGGCAGAGATACTCACACTCTCTTCTGAATTCACTTCAAATTCTGGAGAGATCACATGGAAACAAAGCTTGTAATTCCCTCTGAACATGAGCTGACTCCCTGTGGAGGCACCTGGTATACACATTCTCCCTAGTGCCTTCTGTCTGGGATTAAGATGTAGGCATATACAAGCCTGTTATTCATGAGCCAGCTCATCAAGTCTGTTGGGTTTTTTAAATAGGATTCTTTACTGCATAAAAGCAATTAATTGCTTCAGGATTTTACCTGACTCCAGAAGTTGTATAGTCATGCCCATACAGAGCTGTGCCTGAGCTACTAAATTCTGCAAGATATAGGCTGCTTTTACACAGAAACTACCACTTAAGGCTTTTAGATGGAAATTCCAACTTTTCAGACTACTGTGAGGCAAAAAAAAAACCCAAAGAAAAATCAAACATCAGATAAGAAAAGTAGCTTTAGAGATGAATTATCTCTAGAACTAGGAGACTAATGATCTAACTTCTGAGTCTGTTACAACTTTTCTGTATGTCTTCAGGAAAAAGAAGGATTAAGTATTTCTATACCTCTCTTGCTCTCCAAATTATAGTATAATTATGATTTCTGATGTAAAACAAAAAAGAAAAAAGTTATGTCTGTGAAGTCTCTCATCTTTCAAATAAAATTATAAAACGCTGGTCTGCCCAAAGTAGAGGTGAAGAGAAACTGGATATAGCTTCTTTCAACGCCTGTCAGTGCAGACTGTACAAAAGGTCATTACAACCTGAGAAGGTGTTCCAAGAATCTTGTCCTTAAAAATATTCAAGCTGCTGACCTTTAGCAGTCCAGTGGAGTGAGTAACGTTCATGTTTTGATTTAAGCTTTGAGCATAGAAACAAATGGGTGTTTTTCTCAGGCCTCTGGATCAGTCTTCACAAGAAGACTTCTTAAATATTCACTTCAGTAAAAGTTACAGGCATGTGAGATGTACAAGACACACCTTAACATTTGTACTGCATCGAAGGCGTGACCTTAAAAGGAGGTCACAACTAAAATTTTTTTTGTATTTGGACTTGTAGGACAAAAAACCTACTCAATTTTTCCCCAAAGGGCAAACTAGAAGCTTAGGTCTAGCCAAACCTAAACATTTAATCTTTATTTACATATAAAACTGATGATTCACAGCATCATCTGCACAACTGCATTCTGTCCTAAGATCTGCATAGATTTTTCCAATGTTGTCAACAGAGACCTCCCTAGAGCTCACTGGGCTCAGAGCACACTTGAAAACAGGGTAGGAGGGAGGAGGATCTGGCAGAAAAGAACATGCTAAGAAAAGAAAATCACATATATACCTTCTTTTTGGCCCAGGCTCTTCAATGCTACTGTCCCACCTTTGGGACATTAACAAGCTAAGTTCCATTTCTTCTTTCTCGCACTGCAGCTCATTTTCTTCATCATCGCTGTTCTGAGAATTTCGACAGCTTCCAAGAGAACGATGGTGAGAGAGTGTTTTGTGATGTTCCATGTGATATCCATCATTCTCCAATCCAGCCAACAGATCAATCATGGCCTCATCGGCACTACTGTCCACTGCAGAAAAAGTCCATACAAGTAGAATCTATACTTTGTTCTACTTGTAAATGACTAGTTAGTCTACCAGTAAAAAACAAAACCAACCAACCAAGGCCAAAAAACCCTCACCATTTAAAAATCTACTAGTTTGTTACTGTCTAAAGCAAGGCAGGCTACGAAACAAAGCTCTATTCATACCTTATTTTTTTCAAGTTTTGTGATTGGTTATCTTTTCTAGCTCTTTATCTAGAGTCTTGACAACCTTCTTTTTTTATTTCTACCCTCCTCTTCTGGTTGTAGTAGACTTCAAGGAAGCACTTCTCTCTCTCTCCACCCCCCCCCCCCCCAGCACCTATTACCTCCTCGCATTCAGTGAAGCCTCTCCCCTTTTATTTCAGCATGAGTGCCAGCTGTGGAAGCATCACTGTGTTCTCTTCCTCTTACCATTTCAATGGCTGTGTTAACTTTGCTGGGCACTTCTCTCTGTGTCACTTGGAAGACTTTCAAGCACTGTTTCTCATGAAAGGTGATGCTGATTTTGACCAACTAGTTGTTCTTTCCTTCTGTCCTTTACTATAATGCTTAACTTCATCTCACTTTTCACTATAACCTATTCTCTTCCTAAGTTCCTCTAAACACTGAAAGTTATACGATTTTACTCCTCCCTGAAGTTTTTTTTTTTTTATTTTCCTTTATGTGACCCAAGCTTACACTAACTCATGCACTTGCCTTCTCATTCTTTATTTCTTAGACATCCTTCCAAGTCACATTTTTTTCTCACTCTCCTCCTGCTTACCTTTCATCTGACCTCATAACCAATTTATGATCTCCAGTCTACCAGGCATCTTTGTTACTTCTCTCTCCTTCTCCTCTGGCTGAAGAACTACAATCTCTACTTTCCTTCCTCAGGAAATATATGATTTACAATGATCCTGAGAATCATATAAAATAGGTCTCAACATTGGTGAGGAAGGCATTTTCCATATTTTACAAAGGCTTCACAAGACACCATGCAACTATTTAGAACAGAAACCATCCCCTTTGCCAGATTTCTGAATTAACCCACTTTCAATTGTAGTTTTTGTTCTTGGTTCCATTACCCTTTGTGAGGTCCATTGTTAAACTCCAACCTTTACTTCCCATTAATATAAACTTTGTTGTGTACTTTACAGTAGCAGCAGTAGAAGTAGTGCACTTCACAGTCCCTGTGACACCACAACTCTACAAAGGCATAGTAAAGACTAGCCCATGCTACAAAAGAGCATAAGAGACCCAAAGATGCAGCATGACGCTAGCAATTAATAGCCCCATGATAAGAAGGGGGAAAAAAAGAATACAAAATGAAAGAAAAAGTCATAAAATCTCCATTTGACTCCCTAGCCACTGGAAAAAACCAGACCATTTCAACGCTCCTATTTGGTTGAGCAATTCAAACGCAGACATAAGATGTACCCTATATATTATTATAGCCACTTCTCATCCTCTCAGCACAACTTTCTCACTCTAAAAAAATAAAGATAATCAATGCTCATGTTTGCCAGCTCCCATATAACTTCTTTACTTGTAGTTCTTTCGATAAATTCAAATCCTTGCCTATAAAACTTTCATAACCAAAATCTTGTCTATCTTTCTGCAAATTAAAACAGCACTGGAAAATACTTTTAATTTCACTCCACCCACTCCTCCTTTCTTTGCAAGAAAAGACTGTATATTGTTGTATATTGTATTACCCATAGACATATCTTCCTGCCCATGCACATATTCACACCATGTATGCATCAAAAGCACTCAAAGCTATGGGTTTCAGATACTTCTCCCCCCCCATCCCCTGGTACCTGATAGTATCAACTGTAGTGCGTATTAACATTATACTGTAATGTTTACATAAGAATGTATATAGAGAGAGGGAGAGCATGAACTGTTGTGTTATTTCATTGTTGTTTCCTCTCATGTCATTTACATTTGTTTGCTGTCATGGCTTTTCTTCCCCTCTTCAATGTTTTACTTCTTGTTTCTTTGCCTTCAACCATAAATTTTAGGAAGTGCTCTGCTGCAACTTGCCTCATTATCAGCCTACTATCCCCCAGTATCTCTAGACAGCTGAGCTTCTAAAGGCAGCAGCACATGAGCATGTTCTCTACCATAACTATAAGAAAGATGCAGTAATTGCAAGAATATCATGGATAGACAGTCAAATTCCTCTTTATTCTGACCGTTTCAGTCCTATAACCCTAGGAGCATAAGGAAGAGCAATATCCATAAGAGACTGCATTGAGCTGACCTGGCAAGAGGACAGCCTTAGCAAACCAGCAAAGCATAGCAGCCTCTACAAATATACTGTCCTGGTGACATTTTTAAAAAATAGAAGGTGTTTTTTTTGGTGGTGGTAGTAGGGGGGGTGGGTGGGTGTGTGAAGTCTCAATCTGCTTGACAAACTCCCTGAGGTAAACTACTTACTTTCTCTCATGACTGGTAATGTAAGCGAACACAATGAAGACTGTGGAACAATAAAACAGCCTGGAAGAAAACACACTCCAGTCATACTCACTAAAAACTGTAGTCTGATTCAGTCTTTGAGACAAAGGCTGAAAGCTCTGACTATTCTCCACAATGTTTAAAATTGCTTCTTCATTAATAAGTGCTTCCTCTTCTTTATCAGTATGCATCCTATTGGATTCTTTAAAAGAAAAACAAAAAGGATAAAACTTCAGAGTCACAGACATCAATACATTATGAAAGCAAGCCACTTTAAAATGGATTTTACTGTTCAAGTATGTTTCCATTGTTTGCTATGGCAATTTTAAAAAGGCTTACTCTAACAATGATGAAAATAAAAGCAAAACTACTCTTCATTTTTTCATAACTGACAACCAGATCTTCCTTGGCTTACTTCTGCCAATAGTATAAACAGCCAAAGCATGACACAGATTTATGCCTAAACAATTATGCTACTAAAAATACTCACCTTTGTTCATCTTTTTATCTTTATGCACTTCTACCATATTAGCTGGCGTACACTGAAAGGCTTCAGGAGAAAGTACCTCAGAATGTAGCGTTAGCTCAGCAGAGAACTCCTCTGATCCGTTACTGTAGTCCACTGATCCTGACAGTGTTCTAGTTAATTAAAAACCAATTTTTAAATGCATATTTAAGAGTTGCACAGAATACTATACTTTATGGCAAATGGCTAAACACTTACACAGAGAAGTCATTTTGCTTGAGGATTTCTTTAAGTCTCTTCTGAAAAAATTTTTCACTCTCTGTTGCTGGCACAAATCCTCGGTCTTTAAAATTTGAAAAATATTTGTTATTCAATTTTACTTCGACCTCTCAACACAGAGAGCAGCTAAAATTACTAATTCTATTAGGAAATGGCTCACAGTTGAAGTGTCCGCTAATTTTAAGTGCCAAACTTGAAGGCTGATTTTTCAAGTGTATTTAAATACTTTAAAATACTTCACATAGTCTCACTGATCTCATTTGCAACTGCGATTATCAACAGCATTTGCAAATCATTTTGCAACTACACCAAGGTGAGCAGCCAGGAAAAGAACAATCAGTGAATGATTTTGAAAAGTCTGGCTTATACAGCCCAAATAATATTACATAGGAACGCAGGAAGAAAACCACAGTCAGAAAGCAGTCTGCCTTAGCCACAAACCTGCCTCATTTCTTCTTGCAATCTTCTGGCTTACTTGCCAAATATCATTCGTATTTTACAAGAAACACAGCCTAGGTTCTGCAGAGAACATCTCTGTTCATTATGCAATTAATTTGCAGAGCACAGTCCTCCCTGTGCAATGACTTTTACATAAAAATACCGGGATTTGACCATCCTTTTAGAATTTTCATCTAACATCACCTTAGATACAATTCCACAGAAATTCAAAGGAACTGCCCTTGTGCATGCACTACATCAGAAAGCTTCAGGATAACAGATTTAATTTTGCCAGTATTTAAACTTTTAAATGTTTTCCATCATAAAGCATGCAATCTTAACTGTCATTATCATTCATTCTGCCTAGAATGCTTTGCAGCTAGCTGAATCATGATGTTTTTAGGAGAGATTATGTATCTTGCTTTTAAAATCAGAATACACATACTGGGCAATCAGTAAACTTGGAACTGAAAAAACAGTACATCTAAAAAGCCCTCCAACTTGATATGCAGATTTAAATTCTACCTCCCACTTGCTTCTCATTCAAAGCTTTTGATAAACAGCTGCACAAATTTTTTATTTATTTTTTTTTTTACCTTGTGACTCAGGTGGCTTAATCTGAGAAGATTCACATTTCTCTCTCCGTCGCTGCTTTTCATCTTCCCATATAGCTTGCAAACCAGGGTTCCTGCCAATCTGGGCTGAAATACGCAATAATAGATGAAGGGACGAAGCATTCTCCCCACACCCCCCCCCTCCAAATTAGATTCTGACACCCTTCTTCATCTCTTTTGTCATTCTAACCTGTTACTTTTTTAATTGCAATTCTTGCCTTATTCTAGGATTCAGTGTCATGTAAAAGTTAAGGTGTAACTTTACTTGCTTTCTAGATCTCCTATTTGTTATCTAGGCCTTTGGCTTTTGCTGGTCTTCTCACCAAGTACACGTGTGTGTGTACGTAGATCTATACATACACATAGAATCACAGAATCATTATGGTTGGAAGAGACCTCAAAGATCATCAAGTCCAACCGTATACCTGATGCCACCATGCCTGCAAAACCCACTAAACCATGTCTCGAAGCGCCACCTCTAAACGTTTTTTGAATACCTCCAGGGATGGTGACTCCACCACCTCCCTGGGGAGCCCGTTCCAATGTCTAACGACTCTAACAGTGAAGAAGTTCTTTCTAATGTCCAGCCTGAACCTCCCCTGGCACAACTTGAGACCGTTTCCTCTTGTCCTATCGCTAGTTACCGGGGAGAAGAGACCAACCCCCACCTCGCTATACCCTCCTTTCAGGTCGTTGTAGAGGGCGATCAGGTCTCCCCTCAGCCTCCTTTTCTCCAGGCTGAACAACCCCAGCTCCCTCAGCCGCTCCTCATAAGACTTATATTAAGACATGCATACTTCATGTTGATATTTCATTTATTTTCCTTATAGGTCTGAACCTTTCTGTTATGCATTAACAAAAATCTCTTTTTATTGCTCTGACAATAGGTTATTCTTATAACCTGTTTTCTTTTAGAGTTAATTCAATTTTTATTTTTTTTTAAACTGTACAAATTTGTAGATCAACAATTCACTAACACTGAAATCTGGATTGTGGCTTAACTAAGCTGAGCCTTAAAAAGAGATGACAATATAGTTCCTCTCCTAAAACATTTTACATGGAAAGTTATCGCTTCACCTTCAATATCCAGTTGATTTAAAATGTCAGCAGCTACTGCATCCACCTCCAATTCACAGGTACTTTGTGGCTCAACACCTTTCAACATTAAAGAGCTGTGACAACATAAATACCACAGATTAATTTTATCAATATGTTGATTTTGAAACACGCATCATTGCTGTTTTCTAACTGGACTAACATCTGAAATATTTCAGGAGGAATAGGAGAGAGCACCTGAATACAGAATTATGAGTTCTAATCCTCACCTGCAAGTCCTTAAATTAACGGTCAAATTCAAACCTAATTAGATGAGAAATTTGTATCTTCATCTTAAAGGGATTAGCTTTTTCTTTTGTGGGGAGAAGAGAAAGAAGTGGTAAACAACTCTAAATACTACAGCAATTACAATAATGTTCTCCTCCTCAAACACAAGATGAAATGTTCTATAGAACTCCTAGCCAATAGGACCATCTGCATTCCTGTGATCTTGTGCCCAGAAAACAACAGCGGCAAGGATTTTTCTCTCTCTTTCACAGTTCAGAGCACTGCAAATCAGTTTAACATTTCCAACTAAAGGAAGTGAAGCAAAAAAATGTTTTATTTTTCAGATTTTTTTATTTATTTAGGAGGCTTAGGGCTAGCCTAGCGAATATAAACAGAGTATTAGCATCCCAAACACGAGCAGAACTACAGATAACTGGCTTGGTAAAGACTTCAAACAGCAGAAACAGATCCGAGCTTGTCATATAATGATCTGATCATCTTCCTGCTGTGCCTTTTCAGATCTCCTAAGGTCAGTGGCCTTCCACCTGCTGCTGGCAGTGAACTCATTTTAAGGAGTCCATGAAGGAAACCAAGAAAGAGAAACCTTCTCCCAGGTTTATGTGGAAGTCTGTTTACCCTTTGAAAATTTTTAGGGAAACACAGAAAATCCCCTCAAAGCTCCCCATGGTTAATATAATGCTATTCTCTGGACCTTTTGTCTAGGTTAAGCAAGCAGTGACTTACAACATCTATGTGTATTCCTACATTCCCTGACATATGCAGAGCCTCAAAAATTTCAGCATGGAATGCAAGATATAATTCATTAATATTTTCAGTGCTCTCTATAAGCTTAGAATAGAAGTCACTATAGCGCAAGGAGGAGATGATGTAATTAAAAGCTGGATATCCTGACACTTTCTCTGGAAATCATTTAACTACCTAGAAGTATGAAATCTGAAAGAAATGCAAACCTAAACTACTTCGCTTATATTGCTGACAACACCCAGCTGTGTGGTGCTGTTGATATGGGATGCCATCCAGAGGGACCTGGACAGGCTGGAGAGGTGGGCCCTCATGAGGTTCAACAAGGCCAAGTGCAAGGTCCTGCACATGGGTCGGGGCAATCCCAAGTACAAATACAGGCCAGGCAGAGAACGGATGGAGAGCAGCCCTGAGGAGAAGGACTTGGGGGTGTTGGTTGATGAGAAGCTCAACATGACCCAGCAATGTACACTCATAGCCCAGAAAGCCAACTGCATCCTGGGCTGCATCCCAAGCAGCGTGACCAACAGGTCGAGGGAGGGGATTCTGCCCCTCTAGCCTGCTCTGGTGAGACCCCCCCTGCAGTACTGCCTTCAGCTCTGGGGTCCTCAGCACAAGAAGGACATGGACCTGTTGGAGCGAGTCCAGAGGAGGCCACGAAGATGATCTGAGGGCTGGAGCACCTCTGCTGTGAGGACAGGCTGAGAGAGTTGGGGTGGTTCAGCCTGGAGAAGAGAAGGCTCCGGGGAGACCTTAGAGCAGCCTTCCAGTACCTAAAGGGGCCGACAAGAAAGCTGGGGAGGGACTTTGTGATAGGACAAGGGGCAATGGCTTTAAACTGGAAGAGGGAAGATGTATTTCTAAGTGTATCAATGTACCATATGACTTACTTTGAGACATCAAACTCATTCATTTGTGATTACAAAAGCAAGAATTAATTATTAGGACCACAACAGTGTATGAACTTCATAAAGGTTAAAAAAGGCACTGGGAAACAAATACTTTGCTTTGTAGGACTGTTAGGTGGCAGCATCACGCAGAGAGAAAACTGAAATTGTTAGGCTATAACTACTTTATTACACCTGTTTCTATTTGTCCACCTATGAAGAAACAATGTCAGTCAATTGAAATATCAACTGCATTTTGCACAATGCAGAAATAGCCTCCTGCACTGTTAAAGAGAACACTGAGACCTTACAAGGAAATCAGAGAATTATTTATAACTGTAAGAGAGTGAAGTTCTAAAAAAGTCCACTTCCTTTTTTTTAAAAAAATCTCCAGTGGAGATAAAAAACCCCAGCAGACTTACAGCTTCTTAGCTTAACTGTTTAGGCAAAGAACTGGACAAGATTGAAATAAGCAGTGCTAGAAACGTAAGCAGAAACTAAATCAGTCTTAGAATGTCTATTTACTGGCACTTATATGGGAAAAGACAGAGGACTGAAAGGAGATCTAGTTATTTCGTCATTGACTCTTTTTGTATATCACAGTTATACAAAGTTCAATTTGTATTACTAGTTCAGTTGCTCAGCTGATGTGTAACTTGACTTCTGGGGCAAGAAAGAAATATTCCCTGTGTAAGGCTGATAGGGTTTACTGTGATAACCTCAGCCTCTCTACAGCGGGCAAGCTCAGCTTTCAAGACTCATCTTTGCTCTCCTCCTGTATCCCATTATAACAGTGGAATTTTTACTGGAGAGTAAAATCCTGTTATACACAATATGAAACTGAGAAACAAAACCAAAATCTCAGCAATTAGATTTTTAACGGAGTGAGGGATAAGAAAAAAGGAATAGGCATCCTGCGAGTCAGTTTTAGAAATTGCATGACACTTAACATTTTGAAAGTATATAGTTTAAAAGCAGAGATAACAAAGTTTCCAGAATAATTTCTTGGCAGTTATACTTCTAAAATTTGTGATGTCATGTTTTGTGGCTGCATTAATACAGTAAATGTATTTTTCACTCTGTATGTAAATGTATGTTTCGCTTGGTTACAGCAACAGGCAGCAGAGTAGGATATTTCTTTATTCTAAACATCCAAAAGTAGTCTGCCAGAAGTTGTGAAGCACTTGTCATGTAGAATTCATTAATGACTGCAAGATGCTATGCATTAATACATGATTACTAATCCCTCTAGTCAGTAGTACTGTTTTGGAGTTACTGTGAGAATTGAGAGGGCAGATCACAGAACTCCTAAACCAAAGCAGCTCAATCTTTTAGTAGAAGCAGACTGCCCATGCCCTAATGCACACTTTAAGGACCATCCATTGCCATCATTTCCCTCCCTTCCCAGTCACGCCATCAGCTGAGAAACAAGTACGTAACATGATCAAAATACATACTTTTCATGTCACACACTTTGGGTGCTCGTGTTCATTGCAGCATTCAAACAGAGCCTGCCTGCGTGGCAGGCGACAGGAACTACAGGCAAGCTGAAACTTGCATTTTGATCACATAGTAAGAAAGAAATGCAGGATCACTGGGAAACAAGAACGAGGGAGGAGGCTGCAAATTTTGCCTGCTCGCTTCATGAATTCAAAATGTTTCTGCGGACAAGTGAAAAGGGACCACGATACACAATGGTCATTGATATCAGAACAGTTTCTGATTTTAATACTTTCCTTTGCTAAATGACACATGTAAAGGACCAGAAATCTGGTCAAGATTTGTCTTTGACTTGTTTGGTAGATACAACAGCAAAGCTCCGAGCTCTCTACTTTCACTAATTTCCTCTTTAAAAAGAAACCAGTTTTAAAAAAAGGGGGGGGGGGGAGAGAGAGAG